ACCTAAACACAGATCGCTCTAGTGAGACTGTCCAAAAGTCGCTCTAAATACAGTGTCAGCTCTATTTGGCTCTGAAGCAACACGATTATCTGATCACTTTTCTTTCTTGAAGGAAACACTTGCAAAGACTGTGTTTGCAAATGCAAATTTATAAAATGGATAGTTGAAAATTTGTATGTATTGTTATATACTGTAGACAACCAGTCACTAAACTGATTTGAGTCTCACACAAGCCATAAATACAACACAAGTTGTATGTGTTTCATTCGCTAAAAAGAACTGCCTCATAAAGGGTCATTCCGTCAGGAATTGGTTGGACTAAAGGCCCGGGTCAACTTCAATTTCCGCGTCCAGACGCCTCTTGCACGCAGTCGTTTCCGCAAAGCTTTCAAAGTGTTGTGACTCTTCTGTCTCTCTTGTGCATGCGATGTTGTACGGTCTCAAAAAGTATACTTTGGGCTTAAGCTGCTTGTGCTGTATTCACTAAAAAGGGAGTGGCGTTTTCATTCACCAAAAAAGGGAATGGTTCATACTAGTCAGTTGTTTGGGAATTGGTAGGATTAAAGTAACAACAGGTAACTTTTCAACCTTCATAATATATTTCCAAGTCTCTTGTGATGGTACATCGACTTACAATAGGTTGAATGACACGTCTGCCATAGCCTGACGGGGTCTGTAGCGTTTTTAATCGTACTTTTAAACTTCGGGTTTCGGGTAGTAACCGGCGAACAAAGAGAACTACAAAATTCGACTGCTTTACGGCATATACGTCACTTCCACCACCACCCCCACTTCCTTAAAATCGGACTTGCGAGCCAAATGTTATAGTCATGGCCGAAGCAGCACAGAAAAACAAGAAAGCAAAGGTTTTATCGGAGCAAAGCAAAAAGAGAAAAAGAGAAAGTGATCGCGTTAAAGGCAGAACGAGGAACAACATTGCAGAGCTGCCAACTCTCACGCATTGGCCGTGAGACACCCGCATTTGATTGGTTTCACACGCTCACACGTACGCCACACCCCCGGTTTCTCACGCTAAATTGTCAACCCGGTCGGTCAAATCCCTGAAAGATGAGTTTATCTATAGATCTACCTGTTGAGCCACTCGTGATCGACAAGTTATACCGCAAATTAGTTCAAATCTCCCGGAATCTAGAGCGAGCGCGCACGCGAGACAGAGACTGTGCTCCAACGCGCGCGGACGGCAGAGAGAGAAAGCGAGCGAGAGACCTTGCGTGTGCAGGGAGCATCGAACCCTCCATCGAAAAAAGAATGCCTCTCTCTAACCTCTCTAATTCGCTAGAGTAGTAGCGAATTATCAATCTGGTAGCTAGTAAACGATATTCTAGTTTTTGATGGTTAGCTATCGCTAGTATTCTCGTTCTGATTTGAACTTTGCAATCGATGAAATGCAAATAGCAAATGTTTGACCTAAAAAGTGTAGTCTACTCAACATGTACAAAGAAAGGAGGAAGATTATTAATAAAATCATATTTTAGGATACCTAACATGTCTGTGATATTTGTTTATTTGTCTTGCCTCAAGCTATAATGCAAATCGATTTGTAAAATTTGCAGATTCATTTATGGTAGCTTGATATTATAATATTGACGATATATGGTTATTATCAACCACTCAAAAAAATTGCATTGAAATATCATATAGATCCAGTAAAACGGTAACCAATAGACTAGGCTACTATAATGACGCTGGCTTGTAAACGTGAGCATCGCGATCATTTGTCGTTAGAAAAAAAATAAAACCCATGAAATTATATTCATATGACATGCTGAAATATATGCCACTGTACCTGGGATGAAGACATTTCACACGCGACGCAAGCAGAACACCTGCATGTGACCTCCTCCTACAGTGTTCAGGGCTATCCAGGTTGTCAACAATTGCACGTGCATGTAGGATGACAGAGTTTACGACAGTAGTAGAGGACAATACTGTTTCCCAACTGTAGGGGGAGCCCGAGAGCAAAAAACTACCTGTTGTTACTTTAAGGCCTGTTCACACCGGGACGAATTTCGCGCGCGATATTCGCCGACGTTTAACGCCTCGTGACTAAACAAAGGGCGCCATTGTGAGTGTGCACACCGACGCGAAAAACGCCACGCGTTAAAGCGCCATTTTTTTAAAAACGCCTCGGGTTCGTTTTTTTGGTTTGACACGCCGCGTCAAAAACTATCCGACCAATGAGATTGGCGCTTTTGCTCACGTGTCTGGAGCTTCTGAAGTTACAGTAAAACACAACTTGGGGGCGCTCAAACACAAAACGGTCTTGCCGAGCACACACACGCAACGGCGAAGAAGATATACGCCAAGTAGCGTCTACACTGCCGGGAGAAATAAGACGAGGATGGTTGGATCGTTGGTGTCGGAACATAAAGAACTATATGACAAATGCGACAGCGACTACAAAATAGGACTATTTCTGTTTACATTAAGCGCCATCTAATGTCAGGGAATGAATTTGCATGTTCACTCGGCTCATCGTCAGCGAAAATCGCTTGGGTGTGAACACAAAAAACGCGTTGAAAAACGCTGACGAATGACGCGCGCCGATATTCGTCCCGGTGTGTACGGCCCTTTAGAATGGTAACGCTGTATGGTTTTGCGTCACTAAAATGATTTGACTTATTGGGTATTAGTTGGACTATACTGGTTGTGCTGTATAGATTTGATTCACTAATAAGCATTGGCTCATAAGCGTCATTCCATCAAGAATCTGTTAGACTACGCTGTTTGTGCTGTTTTGATTCATTAAAAATTAAAACAATATCTACATAGCTGGTAGAATGCAGTAGGAGACCTTAAGTGCCAATGTGATTTGTACTGTGATGACATCATCACACCCAGCCACATCAAACTGCCAATACGAGGGACGCTAATGCAGGCCAACGAACACATATTTTACTCTCTAAATTACGTTGGGCGGGAGGGCAATAAAATTACGACCACCAAATCAAACAATATTAATTGCACTTAAGGTTGAAAGACATGCAAAACTCTGATCACTTGCATATTTGAGGCTGGGTGATAAAATCGGTCTCAAGTGTGCATGAGAAGTGCCAGGCGGCCATAATGATAAATCAGAATTGCAAAGAGACACAAGCAGCCAGTGATCAGACCCAAGAGAGAGAGAGCTCGTCTCCATAATGCCCTGTTCAATCAATACAGGAACGCCCTTTACACACTCCTATAACAGACGGCCAACCATTCCTCCTCTCCACCCGACCCGACCATGATTCTTCCTGCTTTTCCTCGAAGTAAAGACTACCAAAGTCCAGATGAAGCTCATTGTCCTGATGCTCTTTTTTTCCTATTCATTTATTTAAAATGCAGTACACTGATGCGAATATAACTCTTCTATGACGAACATGTTTTTAATTTCTGAATTAAAATTCATGTTGAGAGCATAAAGTAAAAAAAAGTCCTAAAAGTCAAAACTGCTTCAGTGCTTATTAATGGAAAACTTGTGTCTGCCAAATCAAAGTCATAAGGCCAATATGAAGAAACAGAAAAACAGAAAAGGACCTCAGCAGACCCTTAAGAGTACGTCATGTCATTTTCTTAAAATATCAGATAATTTGACCTTTCTTATGGAAAGTCAAGCTTAGTTCATATTGTAATGTCATGTGGTGCGACTCCCCCAAAAGTTACCTTTCTTATGGAAAGTCAAGCTTAGTTCATATTGTAATGTCATGTGGTGCGACTCCCCCCAAAAGTTACCTTTATATATTTATTGGAATAACAATGTAGATGACGATATAATTGACCCTTCGCTAAGCCCCGCCCTCCTTAGTTACTGTTGCTACGCCTGTCAAGCTTTCGCGGCTGCCACGTCTATTACAGTGTGAATGCACCGGTGTCAGACATTCCCAAGGAGATATTTAGTCATTTTTGGCGAACAGGTGAAATATCTGAGAGAGCAAGACAAAAGGGACAGCAGTATGCATTCGAGGGACATATCCACGACATAATATGCAACCGATTAGAGAATAATTGAATCAAAATTGAAGCTAAAGCCTATAACGTTAGGTCCCAGCGCAAGCAGCAGCCGTCTCCTTAGCAGACCATTCAAATGGGAAACACAAATTGAACAGCTATGTTCATCCACAGCAGAGTAAGTGAAATGTGAAAATAATCGAATAATTACAAATCAAACAGCTTATCCATCAATCTAACACCGGGAGAGCCGCGATCGGATTGGGGTAAAGTTACAGGGGTAACGTTATAGGCCGTCGATTAACAAAATGCTGAAATATATTTTAAAGTATGTCAGTGAGCCTTCGTTTTGCCTTTAATCGTCTTGTTTTCCGTTCAAATATATGTATTATGAACAAAGAACTGCCATTATTTCCAAGCAATAGGCGTTTTTTTGTTTTGTTAATCCTGTCGACATTTAGTTGTGAATGGGTCTCCACACTGCTGGATCCACGCCCGGGATTTCTCCCCTTTGGCTTTTAGGTTTTGGGAAGAGAAAAAATGCCACCCCACCGTCCAAACTTTTAGAATACCGGGTATCAGATTCGCACAATCCATGCGCACAACGCGTCGGCATGTTTCCCTCGCTCGAAAGCTTGACAGACCGCCCGCCCGCGCCTAGTTACGGTTGCTAAGCCACGATTGGCCAGTGGCGGTTTTCGGGCGTGGCTTAGCGAAGGGTCAATTGTACTTTTTACGTGTTGGTCACACCACATGACATTTTAGCACCTTTTTAATCTAGAATTTTCTTCTTTTTTTATCATGGACACTCACCAAAACATCAAAGGCAAAACACCCTAAAGCATCACAAATCTGGGGCCACTTGAAATTGATAGCATTCTTCAAACATTGCTTAAATGTTCTTAAGACAAAGTCGCAAGTAAGAGTGTAATTTAAAAAAGAGTTGGCGTAGCCGGCAAAATAAAGCAAGTAGGCTAGAGTTGTGAGTTGGTGGAGCTGGTTTGTTTAGATATGGGACAGACGTTGGAGAGAGATTAGCTGAGGCTCACCTCCACAGGGAATCTCCTGCCATTGATGCTGTGCTCCGAGCCGTCAGAACCATTGCTCTGGCCCCAGTGGAACTCCACCTTCTCCGCTTTGAAGCGGCCCGGTAGCCCGGCTCCTCTCACAAAATAATCGTCCTTCAGGAAGATGGCCACTGTGAGGTGCAGAGAAAAGGAAAGAGGGTTAAATAGGGAGAAAAAGAGAAATAAAGACCACTTTCTTGGCATGTACATTAAACAAATGCATTCCAAGCGTTGACTGAAAATAGACTGGAGGACACTTCCTTTCAGTATTTATGATTATTCCTGTAGCTTCCTTAGGGACATGGGCTGAATATCATACACAATTCCTTTCTGCTGAAGGCCAGGTCTCAAATGAAGAAGACATTTCCCCCTCACATCATTTCAAATGGCTTTTTTTGATTCCTTTTGTTATTTCATAAAACAAGAGTCTTAAAAAAAAGTGTGGAACCGATAGCGAAAGCTCTTCCGTCAAAGAGCATTTAGATTCACAAATTGGTCTTTCGCACCAGGACCGGACTTTAATTAATGGGCGCAACCTTAAATAGCACAGCCTTTGTTGGACAGATTTCTTTTTCTGATTGAATTTCGGAGTGATTTTTACTCGCCGCTCGCCACAAGAGATTTGTGTCCTATTTAAAAGAACGACTCCTCTGAAACCTCACTTGTAATCTAAGCGAAACAGGCCAGTGTCCAACCATTGAGATATTGAAGCAATCAACTGGTGGCAGTCTGAATCCGTCACCACAGCAACGACGAGGGACGACTTGGAGGAGCCAGGGGCAAGAGTAAGACGCATGACACGCTCTAGCACAAACACACACTCTCAAGCCTGGGAAAAAACAACGCCGCTCTCTGTCCTTCTCTCGACTCCTCTTTAAGTTGTTTGGTCTTTTGTTGATTTTTTGACGTAATCCGACATGAGAGGGAGAATCAGTTTCATTAGCTATTCCGGCTTTGAGCTTCATGAGCTTTAACAAACAGGCAGGAATTAGACGGCTAAGCCAGCAGGACCTTGGAACGGCAGCTTGTGAAAACTAGGCCTCGCCTGCCAGCAAATCCTTGATCAATGCAAATGTTTCTTCAAGGTTCCAAGATCTCATGAATTTCTTAAGTTTAATTTGGTGGGGGTCTGTGAGAAGCTTGTGTATTGGCCAGTCCAGCAACACACACACTCGCTCGATCGCTTGCAAAAACGCCTCCAGGTTTGGAATAACATACTGCTTTTACTTGTTCTGCAGTGTATGGCATGTATACTGTGCACAGTAGGTGATATTTCAGTATGCATGGAACAGAACAAAGCACACCGAGTGGAATACTGTACCAAACAATGCAAAGTACTTGACATCATCTTCCATTCTCAACACAACAAATAGATTTGACTGCCTAAAAATAAGGCATCTTTATAGAAAATTGGATTAATAAGCATTTTAACTCATTGTTTCTTTTATTACCGTACATATTTATAATATGTGTTTGCTATATTTTTATAATAAATCATTAATTTATCATTTAATTTAATGTTTTTATTCAATTAAACAATCATCCAACACAATATTTCAAGATATGGTCTCTGGTTTGTCTGCTGATTACAACGCTGCTTCTTTTCAAACTTAGGATTGTTGATATATTAAAAATAATTAACCATGATTCATTTTGTGATTCAAGATTGGGTATGTTTTTCAATAAAAAAACCACATTGATTGATTTGTGTTTTTAGCATTCATATTAGGTTCTTTTGTGTGTGTTTTTATAATATAATACAATAATTTTAAATCATCCTGTTATGTGGCCACCTTGTGTACACTATGTACTGTACAATACGCAAGTACGCTAGTATCCCATTGCAAAGACACCCACGTTCTTTTTTTTTTCACACTTATTCCTTTTCCGGACATCCCCGATGAGTGTTTCGCTCAAGGTGAGAAGGTCAAGGGTCACTTGACGTCGTAGTCGTCCATAGAGAAAATGATTTAAAACATTGATTGAGTCATGCATAATTCAGAGGTGCCGGGTTTGTAGGTTTATTGTGCCGCCCTGTTCCAGGTGATTATTTCTCTGATAAAACACTCATGTGTCAGTTATAAATAGCAGAGCAGCTCTCCATTATTCATGGGACAACAGCGGGACATTTGTCTTCCTCTGCACGGATTATGTTAAGGAGGGAAATGCTGGGCAATTCGTGTCTGTGTAAACCTCCTCAATACACTCCGCTGCAGTACTGCTTAATGGTGCAAGACTGTAGCATGAAAACAGAAGTTCAGGGGGAAGATCGCATCATAAAAGTAGGATAGAGCTTGAAAGTACAAGAGTTGAACACTTCCATTCAATGTGACCTATAATTTATAGAAATCAATGGCATGGGGCAGCAATTAGTCCAGCGTATTCTTTATCCATTCCATTTCCTACCCAATAATTGTTTTAGTTCTCAAGTCTCTAATAAAAATATTTAAAAATATAAATAATTCCAAAATTAGAAACACTTATTAGAAATAACTTAAATATTTTGTCTTTGATCAATGCTATCACATGGCTTTAGAGGATTTTTTAGGTAATGTTATGACCCATTCCCTTTTTAATGTTTCTTAAAGCATTGTAAGCCTAAGAAGATCGTAGAACAATTGCAACCAATGGTCTCTACGATCAGCTCACGATGCGTCTGAGAAACGCAACCCAGGACATTCTGCCTTATATCTGATGACATGATAGATCAATGATACTTTTTTGGTGAACTATCACAGACTGTCTGTATCTGTGCGCATTTACCAGTTTTGCCTGTATTCTTCATTGACGTCTTGTTGGACGACTCTACATCAAACCCGTCCAACGTGAGTTCCTGGTACTCCATCGAGACCTTAGTGTCTTGGTCGGCTATATTGATTGGCGATTGGTTTCTCTCCTGACACTCAGGAAAAGCTGCCGTCCACCCTGTATCTGGTCCGTACGTCCCTGCAGAAGAGAGAGACAGCAAATCAATGGATCATCACACTGCAAACAGAAGCCGAGGCGCTCCCAGGCTCACTTTATATTTCATAAATGCCAGTCAAAACACACTAGAGCTGGCCTGAAACGACCATCTGTCTGTCTGTCTAAAAAAAAACCCCAAAAAACCCGGAAAAGCTTGATGAAATGACACAGTTGTCACACTTGAATCCAAGACCTTTGAACCACACAGACCAAAGCAGACGGGTTTTTTGTTGTTGTTGTTGTTGTTGTTTTTTTAATTTCCATTGAAAAGTTTTTTGGAAGTAAAATAAAGTAAATCATTACCTTTTCTTCTCAACCTCAGATTTCCTTTTTGACAGAGAGTGACCAAAAGTTAGTTAGCTACCAAGCTAACACTTGCTAATGGAATGAATGGTTCTCTGATCTCCCGCATGACACAAGTAAATACCCTTTTAGCTAGCTGTGATCATATTTAGCAGTAACAGCATGCTGGGTAAAAGCGATATCTCAAAATGTACGAGGCCATGTTGTACTTATTTGTTCCTCCATGGTCACAGTTGAACGAGTTAGCAAAATGAGGCCACGATAATACAACTCAAATTAAGGAACAAATGAATGTTTTAAACAAATTCTTAATTCTTTGCTGAAATACATTTTCCTTCCCTGCTGCTTTCAAAACAAGTTATTTAGTCCAAAAATCTGAATTATAGCGTATTACAGTTTGAAAGCAGCTTCCCCAACACTGTGCAAAAACTCTCAGTGATCAATGCCACACAGTCGAGACCCTTGTCATCGTATACATAATAAAATAAAAGTATGAGCAGACAATTTTACTTCAGCACACAAAATGAGACAAGCAAACAAGACAAGGATATTTTAAGAGTCCATTAAACAGTTTGAAGCACCGCTTTGGCTTTGCTTACAGTTAAAGCCTGCCAAATCATAAATGCGCCTTTCAGAGCAATAACCTGATGATGCTATGAGTATGCGAGTGTTTCTTCTCTCTCAGACTCGGTGAGAGGTGAGCAGTGGTCCACAAACAGCTAAACAGAACGTGCAGCCCTAATTGAAAGCAATCCTCAGCTACCGGCCTTTAAGATGTATTTGTCGACAATTACCCCAGCCCTGCAAGCATCCGGACCGATCCGAAATGCGTATTTCATCAAATTAGGATTCATCCTCCTCAGCCTCTGCCCTCACTGCAGCCTTGGGGCATATTGATTGGACAGGTCTGGGTTTCATATGGAGAGGCAGAGTGCTATAGATCCGGGCAGCACTGCTGGGTAATGAAAGAGAGCGAGGACTTGCGTGTGAAGAGATTACTCACTCCTTAATGCAGCCCTAACAGGGTTAGAAAAACTGCACACGCAAACTTAATCCCAACCACACCTCAGGATACGCATCTCAGATGAGAAAAACAAAGGCCCGAGTACATACCCCTGCCTCTGAGCAGAAAATAGACATCGCTACTATTTCTTTCTTATTTCTTTTGCTGGGTTTATGGTTTTGTTGTTCCGTTAGATCCATTTTTCCTCTGTTTACGTCAAGTTAACATTAGCATATTTATGATATTGTATTATCCTGTCTGTTTTAGGCCCAAAACGTACTCGACGCAGATACGTGTATTGCAAACACTTCTAGTACGCAAACCTGACTTCACATGTTTTTTATGTTTTATAAACATTTAAAACAAGTTTTTATGACAGCCACCTTTTAAATGTTTATATTTCCAAAAAACTAATTGGAGTAGAAACAATTATGTGTGTGTTCGTATATAACTTTACGGTAACACTTTATTTTAAGGTGCTTGTAATAAGCAGTAATTAACAGTTAATAAGACACTTATAAGACCTTATAAGATGCATATAAGATGCATATAAGCATTAACTAATGATAATAAATAAATTAAATTAAATAATACATTTCTCAAGTATCAATACATTGCACTTTTAGAACAGCCGGACAAACATAAATGGTAACACAAACTCCCAGTCACTTAAAAATGTACCTTCCCAAGAGGGAGTAGTTTCCCTGATCTCTTCAGGGCCTGGACCTTTAATTAACCCTTATATGAAGTAGTTAATGCTTATATGCATCTTATATGCATCTTATAAGGTCTTAAAAGTGTCTTAATAACTGTTAATTACTGCTTATTACAAGCACCTTAAAATAAAGTGTTACCAAATTTACATTTACTGTATCCAATATAAACCAGTGAATCGATATCGAATTGAATCGAAGCTTGTGAAGTGAATCGAATCATGAAATTTGTGTCAATGCCCAGCTCTACTTGAAACACTGAAAATAGGACTGACTGAATTCTGGAAAACTGAACACAATGCACTTCTATTGCTCATTTGTGTCAAATTAAATATAGCATCTACTCTAGGGTCCATACTAGCAAGCGTTAGCATAAATTGTCTTCTTCTACAGTCAGCTGTTGCTTTCATGTCAACTACTGCCAAGGCAGGGCATCATTTTCTGAGCAAGCAAGTTAAACTGTCAATACATGATTACGTTAATAGTTTAATACTTGAACAACAACACATCTGATGAAATGGCACAGACATCGCTATCGCCCCCTTAAGTACGGGAGTTGCTACTACATTAGCACAAGACTATATATTATGTACAATAGGATCACATTTCTTAATGCCATGAACAACCATTTGCATTTGTTTACTTATTTCCTAATGTTGATAAGAGTTTGTCCAACTGTCTATCAACTTAACCAGCAATCAATGCAGCCCTCTTTCTCTCCCTCTCTCTTCCTCCCTCCCTCCCTCTCTCCTTCTCTCTTCCTCTCCTTTAGTAAAACACACAGTGGCTGGTACAGTGCATGGAAAGCTATTCTTGCAGGACAGAGGGGAAGGTTCAACCTATTCGAACATTAAATAGTTGTGAGAGATCTCAGCCTCCCACTGTTTTGATTTACCCTTCATTCCTCCCTCTAGACAGAAAGGGAGGGAGCACAGACCAGGTGTCAAATCAACATTTCATTCACCTCTGACCCCTCTCTCAGCTCGATCAATACTGCCTCTGTTCACCGTTTCCTTCTCTTTTTTTTACTTTGTTGAGAGAGAGAAAGAGATGGATAGAAGCTGATGGATCTCCTAAAATGAGATTACGTTTCGAGGCAAAAGACGTTAGCTTTGCTACGAGAACACACAACCACTTTAACCATTGATTCTCTCAATCTTTAAAGAGATAGTTCACCTGAAATGAAAAATCTGTCATCATTTACTCAGCCATATGTCTTTCGAAACCTGTTTATCTGTCTTATTTTTTTCTGTGGAACACAACAATATTTCTCCAAATAAAAGCAGCTTGAACATTATGATAAATAATTTTTTTAATAGAAGCTTTTCTCTTCACTATTAGATCAGGACATTTTTCAGGCTCACATTTACATCACCAAAAATATTTTGATATATTTTACTTATACTATAAGGTTCATTCAAGTGTCTATTTGTAAGTATTGCATTTCACTGTATTTTTGAATTAATCAATAGATTAAGATATTATCCTTATGTCATTGAGCCATAAATGAATTACATATAATCTGTGAACAAAACACAAAGCATGAAAAATAAAAAAGATTTATAAAACAAAGAGAAGGCGGACCAGTGAGTTTCTTCCCCACCCCCTCGTCCCTTTCCGAACGCTTCCGAAACAAGACGTGCCACTCAAAACTCATCTGACAAGTACAACCATGCCCTCATCCAAACGTGTCAAAGGGAGACACTGTAAGGAAAAGTCCTGTTCCGCTAATGCTGCTGTTCTCATGCATATTTCACCAGGAACTGTCTGCAAATCTCAAGAGAGCTGACGTGATATAACACGATTTAAGAATCTTGAGTGTAAATATTCCTAAATGTTGCGTTTGCCCCTCAGAGACAATGTGCTTTTCACTTAATTAGCAAGAATCCTCCACACAGCTGTGCAATATACCAACCTCAAACCATTCAGACTGATGCAGAAAAAGGGAGCGCAACAGTGTAATTTACGATGTGAACAGAAGTGCGTTTGTGCAAGAACATCTGAAGAGAATTTACATTATGTTTGCCCAATATCAGCACTGCGGCTCGATAAACAAACGTGCCATTTGGAAGATTGTGGGAGTTTGGATGGGCAAGAAAGAGAGACATACGAAACATCTCCAGTGGCTTCTCTTAGGGTTTCTGACGTGTCTATGATATGTCACACTAAGCCTGTCTCTCGGCTGCAGGTGCATTAGTGATGGGTCATAAACACAGAGACACATGGGTCTGTGGTGTTTCTGGATTTATCCGGCTTGACTGCCAGTGAACGCTCTCCACTATTCCCTTTCCATTACAGTACTTACATGCACACACTCAACCCTTATGGAGAGCTTCAAAGCATGCTTCAAATGCACCAGTAGCAATGATGCTACAAGTGGACATCTAGATTAAAACAGCAAATTAAATGCAGGAAACTATTTTAGAGTGCTTATAATAATAATGAAATAATAAACCGCTAGATTTTCAATGTAATACTTTAGAATACATAAATACATTATTGCTATTTTTAAATAAATTGATACTTTTATCCAGCAAATATGCATTCAATTGATAAAAGATAACAGTAAAGAAAAAAATATATATTTCCAAATAATGCTGTTTTTAAACTTTCCGTTAATCAAAGAATCCTGCAAATGCAGTATAACCATCTTATGATAATGATAACCATCTTATAACTAATGATAATAAGAATAATAAATGTTTCTTGAACACCAAATCAGCATTGGATGGATGGATAGAATTGTTATAATTTTTAAGAAAATGCATTAATACTAATATATTAAATATATTTATTTTATGTTAATATACAGAGATGCAGTCTCTTCATAGAACCCAAGGGAAAGGCCATTTGAGTAACGGATCATGGTTTGCATTGGTCTGTTTATCGTCCTCCATAATGCTCTGGACCCTATTAAAGAGGTGCTTCCTCTGACACAAATTCTACTTTCTTTAATTAGATCA